GTTAATAATATAATATTTTATAAAAATAATAATTAAATATTCTGTTAGAACTCAATGATTATCCTAATTATATTTTAGATTTTTTATATTTAAAATAAAATGTTTATCTTGTATTTGATTATGTTTATCTGTAATTAGTTACACGAATTCAGATATGGAGCTTTAATAAGTTGTACTTAAACACAATCTACCTAAAATCTTGAGTTTTAAGTAATATGCATTAATAAACAATATTTTACGCAAAAAATAGTTTTTAAGAGTTTTTGTCAAATGCTTTATAATATAGTATAAATTATTTTTTTTATAATTTAATTTAAGTTTAATAATGAAATAATTTATTTTTGGTTTAATCATATAATATTTTATAAAGATAATAATTAAGTATTCTGTTAGAACTCAATGATTATTCTAATTATATTTTAGATTTTTTATATTTAAAATGAGATGTTTATCTTGTATTTCATTGTGTTTATTTGCAGTTAGTTACACGAATTCAGATATGGAATGAAATCGGATAAAGATGAAATCGTTTAGGGATGAACGAGTTTAAGAATTTTAGCCAAATGTTTTATAATATAGTATAGATATAGATATAGATAAGTAGATAACCCTAGGGAATAAATTAAATATAATTTTTATTTAAAGAATTTAATATCTAAACACTTTTTGACATTTTGAATTGAAATAATGAAAAAAAAAACCCCATGATCCCCACGCATTATATAAAAGAAATCAAACACGCTGTTCTCCTTTCACGATTCCCACACATCCCCAAGTTCATCATAGCAAAAAATTTATACATCTTCGGTTCAATCGATTACTTTTGATTATGAACGCTTTTCTGTAATCTCCCCACATAATTTTTCTACCAGAGGTGCGTATAAACGAGAATTCAACATCTCCTCGACTTATTTTCTCGTAATTGTTGCTGCATTTTGTGGCTTTTTGTCTGTAATTATTGTATATCAGTATGAAAATTGAGATGTTAATTTGTGTTTGTGATGTACGGTGCTTTAAGATCTGTTGATTTGTTGTCTTACAGGGTTTTCTAGTGATGTTTAGTTAATTGTTTTCGTTTTGATTTTTTTACTTCAGTACCCTGATAGATTGTTTGAATTCGGAGTTTGGTAGGTGAAGTTAGCTCAGCATCTATGGAAGATAAACATACATGATTTGATTATTGTCTCTCTTATGTGAATTAGGGCATTTCTTATTAAAGTAGAGTCAAGTAGGAAGACGATTCCTATAGTGGTTCTTGCTTTCCTCTTCATTTTGGCATTAAATTTGCTTTTTGCATCATTGCGTTAGGTTAAGTCGGGTCATATGCCTCCATGCACTGGATTGTAGTGAACAACACAAGCACTCTCTTTATCATTTGCAAGGATTTATCATTACTTTTGGACTCATTTTGTAAAAACAGAAATTATCACTAGGGATGAGTTTATATGCTTTCAGAAGTCATCATGCATCACAAATCCAAGATTACAAGAAAACCCCCCTTACCAAAATGCAGTGGGTTGAAACTAGCAAAGCATTTTTGTATAAACAGAAATTATCACTAGGGATGAGTTTATATGCTTTCAGAAGTCATCATGCATCACAAATCCAAGTTTACAAGAAAAAAACCCTACCAAAATAGCAAGCTTTGGGATGATGTGCCCTAATCAACATCCCATATTTGGGTGCACTTTTTTTTAAATGATTGAGCTCTTTATTTGTGAAATTTGGTAGTATGTTGAGGCTTCTCTCAAAGGAGTCTTTAACTATTGCTTTGGATATCAAACTTCATTGCTGTGGATATTGTGTTGTTGAATATATTTAATAGTATAGGAAGTTAAAACAACCAAAACGCCGAGTGGGATATCTGGGTCAGTTTGGTTTTTAGGAAGTTGAACAAGCAAATGCCACTAATCACTGAGTGGGCATTTTGGCTTACTTCTACACATTAGTATCTACATGATTATACATGGATTTGATAATAAACAAAGTATGGTTCAATAAAGTAGCTTTATTTGATTACCTATATAAGTGCTGTAACTTTTGCATATTTTATTCTTCTTACTAAAGATTATGTTCACTTTTTGCATTTTATGAGCTGGACTTCCCCTGCATCAAAGTAGTTTTGTTTCTAGGTACTTCCTCTATTAATTATGTATTTTTTTGGCCTAAACATCTGAAGACTAAAACATCTACACTTGTATCCCTATTTGGAAGTATAAACTTTGAACAACAATATCTTATTTTATAGTCACTTGATAGAACTTCCATATTTTCTGTATATAAGTGTTTGAGTTTTGTATCTGTAGTTGCTTGTTTGTCACCATGTCCTTCTTTCGCCGCCGAGGATCTTCTCAGCAACAGCAAGAACAGGAGCATCAGGAGCTGCAATCCGAGTCCAAGGTAGTGACAAGTTTTAGGGGTTGTTTGGTTCATGCTAGGGAATGAAAATGAAAATGACAGGGAATTAATTTTTCATTCCCCCCAATTTACAACCCGGATGAAAATTTGGGATTCTGAGGAAATGAGCCTATTTTATTATATAAAACCAAACAGTTTTTTTATTTTTATTTTCATTCCCATTGATTACTGTGTAACCTATGACCAAACACTCCCTTAGAATATGAAACCGGGATATTTTTGGGGCCCAGGCCCTTGGAAATTACAGTAAGGAAAATCTCCAGTGGCCTTGAGGACATTTGAACTGGCAACCTACATGGAGGAGCCCCAAGACCTAGCTTTTATTTGCAAGTTAAGCTGGCCCTCAAGGTTTTGGGATTTAACTTTAACAAATTTTAGAATTGGAACTTTGGGTTTAACATTAGTAGTATAAGTTGTGGTCTAAGGTAATCACAAGTTGTAAAATATCTCATGATGGCTGCTGTGATATCCTGTGGTTGCTGCAGGTCAATGAGCTTAAAGCTGCTCTTGGACCGATTTCTGGACGCAGCTTACTTTACTGCACTGATGCGTGCTTGAGAAGATATTTGGAAGCTCGGAACTGGAATGTAGACAAAGCAAAAAAGATGTTGGAAGAAACACTTGCCTGGAGATCAACGTATAAGCCTGAAGAAATTCGTTGGGTTAGTGATCGATGTTTCATACTTCCATTCATGTTAATAGTTCAATATATAAGGAAAGTCATCTCAATCTCATATAGGCCGTGCTCAAAAAGGCACGCCATGGTGTAAGATGCGTCTCCGCTATTATGACAAGGCCCGTAGCATATGTGTATGGCGTGGCTCACGCGATGGCGTGCGTTTTCTACAAGGCTTGACTTTTTCCAATTTTTTAAATTTTTTTAACTTTAGATTTATATTTTTACAAACTTAGCGAATGACTCGGAGTTTCTTGGACTCATACATGTCATAGACACACGGTCAAAATGAAGTCGTAAAACCATTCCAAGTTCTATTTTGATATTTGATCACAAACTTTTTATATAGTACTAGTTAAAATATATGATTTTTCTTCTTAGTGTGAATATTTTAATATCATTATATTATCGAATAATAAGTAGAAAACATATATGTATATATAATGGGGCTCCTTCATTTGTTAACCTTGTTTTTTGTGTTAACTCTAGAAACCAATCTCTAACCATCCAATTGTTAGATCAATGGTTTAAATTGATTTTGTTAATTTTAGTATTAAAAGTAACTGAAGCAATTAGTAAGGAAGATGAATCATCATGAACAAGGGTAAATTCGGTACAAAACAAATAAAAGAAACTTACCATCGTCTTCTTCCCTACAATTACTCTTCCGTTACATTGTAGATGGGCAAGGATGGGTGGTGAAAACAGTGAACATATCCATGAACATTGTTAACAATTATGAATCCCAATAAGTGAACATATCCATGAACATTTTTAACATCTACCATGTTGGTTCACAATTTCCATGTTCATGAACACTTATGTTCACACCTAATGACTAGCCATTCCGAACATGTTAAAGATGAACACAATGGAAGACATAATAAGACGTCCATTACATCTGGAGGAATTAAATATTTGAAAAGAGCCAAATTTTAGGAACAATGTAACTCCCATATTATGTTAACATATTCTTACTAATTTGCCCCCATTGATTAAATATTTAATAACCTATTAACCATGAACCAATATGGAGTCCTATTAGACCATTTTGCTTTGTATAGTTAGCACAAAAAACAAGGTTAACAAAAGATTACACCCCTAGATATATATATATATATATATATATATATATATATATTGCATACAAATTTGCTGCCTTATGTCACTCTTTAAATAGCGTAGCGTCCTCGCTGTGGCGTGTAAGGCTTGAGCTCGCCGCCACGCCTCCCGCCATTTTGAACTTGCATATAGGCATATATAGTTATTACTACTTCCATTGCTGTCAAATTATCTAAAATCTGATAGCACTCGTGCCCAGTACTTACATTCGTTCACTTGTTAGCATGAAGTTGCCATTGAAGGTGAAACTGGGAAACTATTCAGAGCAAATTTTCATGACAGAGTTGGAAGAACTGTTTTGATATTGAAACCAGGACTGCAGGTGATCGAACAATCCTCACCTGTGTTTTGAACTTTTGGACTAGGCCAAAATGCAGTGAAATGTAACAAAGTTTGTCTTAATTCCCCTATTTAGTATAACAATGATTTTTCCTTAATCAGTAACTAGTGTAACAAACGTTCAATTCTTTTCCCCCCATTTTACCTTATAAACGGGTTTTCAGCTTACATGGCATAAGTTGGCTTTGATGTGACATTTTTCCATGTAATAAAAAATTATAATATAACTTGACAATTTGGCATCAACGTTATGAATATCTTCAAGATCTACCGGTTACTGGTCAAATGGGTATGAAACAAGAACAATTGGACGTTTTATACACTAATCGAGAAAAAAAATTCATAGTTACTCTAATAGGAATCAAGGCAAACTTTGTTGCATTTTGGCCTTTGGCCTAAATGCCCTTTTTTACCAAACCTATGTCGATACACATTCTGCAGAACACAACATCTATGGACAACCAGATCAAACATCTTGTATACCTGATGGAAAACGCTATGCTTAATCTTCCTGAAGGCCAGGAAGAGATGGCATGGTTGATAGACTTTACCGGGTGGTCGTTTAGTACCAACGTACCAGTTAGAACCGCTAGAGACACCATCAATATACTGCAAGACCATTATCCTCAGAGGCTAGCCGTGGCATTTTTGTACACTCCGCCACGAATTTTTGAAGCATTTTGGAAGGTATTTTTATCTTTTAAATTCTTAGATCATCTATATTTCTATGCATCGGGACTGATTGTTGCTATATCTGATCAATGTGCAGATTGTTAAATATTTCATGGATCCAAAAACGTTCCAAAAGGTGAAGTTTGTGTACCCAAAAAACAAAGAGAGCGTGGAGCTTATGAGATCATATTTCGATTTGGATAACCTCCCAACTGAGTTTGGCGGAAAAGCGACTATGAAGTATGACCATGAAGATTTTTCGAGATTAATGGCCCAGGATGACGTGAAAGCTGCTAAATTCTGGGGTTTCGATGACAAGTCTGCTTCTATGACCACCAGCTATGCTGCTGGAGCCGCGGTTGCTCCTGAGCCTGCTTAGCTTATGAGCTGATCTAACAGAATACGAACTAGAAATTATTATAGCAAGCGAACTGGTCTGCTTAGCCTCGTTACATAGCCTAAATGCTTACTCGAGATTGCCATTAGATCGATGATGGCTCAACCCGTTTGGGGTTGTCCTCCCTGCTGAATTTGCTTATGAATCATATCTCTATTTGATGATGACATTTGATGGTTATACTTGTGGAACTTTGCGCCGTCTTTTTTATGATTTGTGTATACAATTTGCGTGACCATTTTGAAATTTCAGAAAGAAGCAGCAACTACGGGCCATGTTCGGAGTTTGCACTCGGAATCATGAACCGTTCTTCACTTCACGCCGAAGAGCGAACCTTTGGGTAGGTGTGTGGCTCGTAAAGTTTTTCGGTTTTGGCTCGAGCCATAAAATCGTTTACCTGGTAAGAGATGATGTTTTTATAGGAGTGCACTATGATACAAGATTTAGTTGTTTGTTTATCTCTTAATAGTTCCATTAAGAGGCAACATCTGAATCGTTAAGAGGCGAATCTTGTTTGACAAAAAAAAAAGTCTGCCTCTTAATGGTTCTAAAATCTTCTGAATGATTTTGTATCATGGATCTCCTTTAACCATCAAAAGCCCTAATTTCATTGTACACAATTACCAAACAATTATATTTCGTTTTACCCTATATTATGAGAACGTCTTAATCATTCTGACCACTTAATCATTATGCACCACATCATTCAGCAATTGCCAAACAGCCCCCAAGTGGTGCTACTAAACACTTGATAGATCAACAAAATCTACCTGCACAAAACCGTTTACTCCCCTTTAAAGGTTTTATAGATCAACAAAATCTATTTACACAAAAACGATTACAATTCAAACAATAAAAAAACAACCAATCGCGGTTCCAAATCCATGTAGTTTTACTCGTTCCAATCGGCTATCAACACACTCTATACCATATAACCAAACGGTAAAAATGAAGACGGGAACTTTGTAACAAGAATTACAAAAGCCGCCTTTTAAAGTTTCGGGTGGTAGATTGGTAAGTACGAACTAGAAGACCAACTCCAATTCCGACACCAAGGCAAATGCCGAGCCCTAGGCCAACACCGACCCTCACACCGGCATTAAACCACGTGAGTTCTCCATCTTCGCCTTCCACGTACTCTGGTTTGCTCCATTGAAGGCTATTATTGTAGTCAAAGTCATTTTCCGTTTTGTAAGGTCCGTATTCTGCTTCCTGCATACCCTGACATTTTCAAGAAATGCATCCAAATGTAACGAAGTTTGATTATTTTTTCCTCAATCGATATAATAAATGTTTGGTTCTTGTTTTGTACCCATTTTGCTCATAAATGGGTTTTTAGCCTACTTAGCATCAGTTGATTTTGATGTAGCAAATTTTGAAGTAATCAAGAATTACAACTTCGCATGCTCGTCATCGGTAATTACAAAATTTACCGTTACCAGTCAAAATGTATACAAAATAGAAATAACTGAACGTACTAATTGGGAAAAGAATCATTGCTACACTAGATAGGAAGTAAAGCGAAATTCGCTGCATTTTGGCCTTCCGTAACATCAAAAGTGGCACGGGTTCTAATTCCTTCGCGTTAGCATATAGGCATGTATGCATATGGATTTCGTAGCATTTGAGAGACACGTTAAGACCAAAAACGCTTATGGGAGGATCTTATGAACGAGTCCAAACGGCATATATTTTCTACAATATGTGTAACACACCAAACTTGAAGCAGCAGATTGATCTAATAACCTCCAAATTTAACTTAAAACCATGGTAGAAGTTATTGGTAGTTCACCACTTGGAGACTCATACTCTGTCTATGTGGGACGGGTTGCGATAGTATGCAATTCCCACCGGAAGGACTTACAAGGGCTTTGCATACACCATAGTAGAGATGCACAAAAAAACCCAAGCTTGAAGCCCGGCCCAAAAGACCCCGATCTTAGTGAGCACGGCCAGGCCTAAAAGCCCGACCAAACCGAAAATTTGGGGGCAGGCCAGGCTTGTAAAAACCTGCTTAAGCCCAGCCAGAAAAGCCCATTTGGGGCCGTTTTCAACCCCAAAGCCCATCCCGGGCTTTTTTTCCTCGGTGAAAACAGGCTTAGAAGGACCGGGGCCAGGCCCAAAAAAACACGGGCCTCGTGCATCTCAAGTTCTCAACACAAGGGCCTCTTCAACAAGCACCTTGTTGGATTCTAGAAAAACCAAACACATCCGGTATATTCCACTCGGAAGTAGGTCATGGGGGAAGATGTAGGCAGACCTGACATCTATATATTAATTTAACTCTTACGCATCTTATATATGTTACCAAAGACAAGACCAACTAATTTATGAAACAAGAAATATGATCTTAACCGTGTATATGAACTTGCGATCCGATATCTAAAACAACGTTAGTGAATCTTGAATTTTGATAATTACCTGAAGATCGAGTCGAGATGTAACATCGTCCCGAGATTCTTTTGTTTCACCCTCCGGGATCGTATCTAGCACCCCTTTTCTACCTTGCTTCTTTCTAAGACTAATCTGCAAAGTCTTGGTCAAAATAACCGGTGCTCCTAAAAACGAACCCGCAACATAAGCTTCCATCATCGGTGGCATTGAGTCCGAACCCGCAATTTGTTTCCCCTTCAAAGCCCTGGTGCCAGGACTAATCATTGATTCACATTTCATACTCCATCTCTCAGCATCATTGGTCTTAGACTTACTAACAAAACCATTACTAGTCTTCGACATCTCCAAAACCCCGGAAAGAATGAGATCTTCCCCATCAAAAACCTCAAATTTGACACTCCCCGACAACCTTATACTGTCTGTGCTCACAAACGTAGCCTCTTCAAACTTCTTGTCGACTCGGTTCCTTCTTAGCCGGCAAGAACTCCCTTCCGAGTCAAGGGTGCATCTTCGATTGTTGACTTCAAGAATCGTATCGGGATCCAACGGTATATGTCTGAGAGTTAGATATTCAGGGGTGTAGCCATTGACCATAAAGTTGCAGATCCTAACATAGAACACCCTTATATCGAACCAAGCTAATAACGGTTTCGAATACGGTTGATAATTAGGATACTTGATGATCTGAAGGTTGTTCTTTGTTGTTCCATTCAAATTCTCCATACTTCTAGAAGCTTAATTCTCATGGAAAGAAGCTACAAATCAACCCTGTTTTGCATCATTCAAAGTTCAATGATTGAATCCACAGTTTTGTTCAAATTATAATGAATTAAGAAGCAGAAATTTAGGTTATTGAATTCAAGCATATGAAGATTACATCATCAGGGAAAGTGAAACACTAAAACTTGATAAAATACAAACCCTAAAAGGATCAGAAGATGCCCACTTAAGAAATCTATGATTCTTATCTGGGATGAACTTCATTTCTAAAATCTTGAAATACCCAATTGGGAAATCCATATGCAAAGCTCAAATTCTTGTTTCCAATCAACTTATAGAGAGATATGAAGCATGAAAGCACACAGTAGCACCAAGAAAAGCTCACAGTAACACCAAACAGAGATAACAATCAGATGTCTCAAGAACACTGATAAATTTATGCATGAAAAGAGAAAAAACAAACCAGAAATCAAGGATCCAAAGGCAACACATCTGAAACTCCTTCAGTGTGTGTTTAAATGTGTTTTTGTGTGTGTAAAAGATACAGAAATTGAGACCAAATGATGCTCAATAGACGATGTCTTAGATTATAAAATTCACAAAGATCCAAAAACCAAAAAGAAAAAATGAAATCAATCAAGACAAAAACCAGAAACAAATTCTTAATAAACTAACTTACCCTCCAAGTCTCTCTCAATACCCACTTCGAAAATGCCCAAATCAAATAGAAGCCCTAAGAGATTTCATGAATCGCTTTCAAACACCCCCACGAAATTGGATTAGATCTCGTCCTTTAGAACCCTAAAAAGATTCAGACTTTCTTGCTATAAATGACAGAAAACAGAGCCACTGGAAGGATTGATTCGATATGTTCAAGACCCAGATGCTGAAATATCTTGTAACAAGTATTGAATACGCATATCAGATGCATACACGTATGTATTGATGGTGATGGTCTAATGGACCAGAGAAATTTAGAAGTTTCCTTCTTATCCAAAAATGGGAGCTTAGAAAATGAAATCCACGAGGTGGGGGTCGGAGGAAAAATGGTCGGTTTTGTAGATTAAGATCTTATAAGTAATGAAACTTACACAAATCAAGATAGAATTGGTAGTCAGCATCCCAAAATATATGTTCGATCACTCCCCGACAAAAACCGTGCAAATTCGTTCTTGAAGTCAAAGTAGAACGATTTTGTTGTTTTTTTTTCATTCACAATTAATGAAATAAATGTTTAATTATTTTTATTTTTATAATTATTATTATTATTTTGATTAACCTAAATATCCAAACCGCTATATCATACGATTATAATTGGTAATCCATAGAATTTATGTTATCGATGATGTGGATGATAAGTTGTTAATTTGAAGGATCTTCAAATGATCAAGTAAAATAAAGATTCAACATTCTTCGATTTTTTTTTTCCGTGGTGAAGAAAGTAACGTGACGTTTGGTTCACAGATTTTGAAGGAATCTGATGAAATTGAAATGTTGAATTCATTTGACCACATTCAATTCCGTTGTTTGGTTTGTTCTTTTTACCGGAAAGAATCTTTAAATTCCATCAAGTTCTATGAATAAATGATTTTGACATTCCAAAAGATATATGGGGTATTTTAATGGAATGAAATTGAACTTTTTTGTAATTCCAAAAATACCCTCTAACCCCAAATATACTCTAATCTGTTCCACAACCGACACCCTCCATCTCGCCTTCTCCATTGCCACACCAGGGTCTTCAACACAGGTTTGATTTCGTCTTCTAATAGAACTATTAAAAAGTAAACAAACAACTTATAAGTCTAAAAGATTCTAAATTGAATATGTAATTAATGAATATCATGAATGAAACAGAAAATTTTAACAAACCATAAGGACCAAAACTATAATTTACTCTGAATTTTATGAGAAACAAAAAACTAGTTGTGATGTTTATCCCATGATTCAATGTAACAATAACAACTAACAAAGCAACACCACACGTTATGTTATCTCATGCCACATGCTTTTTGTATGCATTTATCCCTTTTTCATAAATAACTAAACATATTATCATAAAACCATATAAAAATATCTCCAATAAATTCGTTAAAAAATATAATATGATTTGATCAAGTAATTAAACTTGTTTTTTTTAATAAATTATTAGATTTTTAAAAATTGATTACATATATATTTTCAACCCAAAATACTACATGTAACCGAGTAAAATGGTTTAATAGGTAAAAAAAAATTGTTCCTAATCTTACATCAATCAAACCCCTCGCATCCAACGGCATCATCCCCACCTCGCAACCCCATTTTTGCGATCCTTCATACCTCCCACTTTTTGATGTGTTCTTTGTCTTTCGATTCTACTTCTTTTATAACAATTACTGATAGAAAATAGAGATCGATGACAAATGGCCAACGACGGTGATAAGCAGTGACAGAAAACGGTCGACAACATGATAGTAATGGACGACAAGAGGGAGTGATGACGTTGGGTGTAAAGAGTTTGAATGACATATAGTTTCGAAACAGTAAAATTGATTTACAATTTTTATTTTAAAATCTTCCTAACCAGCTACATGTAGGTTTTTAGTCAAAAGAATGTAAGTAACTAGTTTCTAAAAATTTGACGTTTTAGCTACTCAAAATAAATATTCAGTTACTTAGTCATTCAAAATAACGAGTGAAACTTTCCATAACTGGAAAGCGGAGACCCACGAAGGCGAGATRATCCCAAAGCGAGAATGAAGCTAGAGCCATTACTTGACCAATAACGTGAGAGAATTTCACGCCCCTTCCCCAAACTGGGTGGAAATGTAGGATTCGGGGAAGGCTTTCCTTCGTTGTTGACTTATACTGATACCGGCCAATAGCCCAATCTTTTAGTCTCAGAACTAATTGTTTATCTAGTAACCACTCTTTGCTTTGATGAGTTGAGTGAAATGAAAGTCACTTTTGATCCTATATCGCAACATCATGACTCGTTAATGAAACCAACATGGGCTTGAGTCATCAACTCCAACAAATTCTCTATTTTAGAAATTTCAACATTAATTATATATTAAATAATCTATAAATGTATCATCACGGTACATTTTATCAAAAAACTTTACATCTATACTATATTATAAAACATTTGACAAAAACTCTTAAAAACCATTTTTATGCATGAAATACTGTTTTATTGATGCAAAATTACAAGTAAATTGTGCGTATGTACAGCTTATTAAAACTGCATGTTTAAATTTGTGTAACTAACTTTAGATAAATATAATCGAAAGGATAAACTTCTCATTTTAAATATAAAAAATTTAAAATATAATTAAAATAATCATTGAATTATAACAAAATACTTAGTTATTATCTTTATAAAAAAATATTAAACAAAAAATAAAAAAATAAATTAAAGAAATACATAAAAAAAAATTTTTAATAATTAATTTGGTACTAATATCAATTTTTTTTCCAATTCTTTATGATAGTCTTCATATTTATATCTTATTTAAAAATAAAAACATTATCGCTTTCTCAAAATCATATAAAATAATATTATAACATCGACTGAGACAAAAAAAAAACACAAAACATTAAAATCAAGATGTATCTCACAACATTGTGCGAGTACCCTTCTAATAAAATAACAATACATTCAATATCATCACTCATATTAAATTTTAAAGGTGAGGTGAACCATTAATGAACCTATTAATGTCATCATCCATTTAATCATGTAGCCATTTGCTATTAGCATTCATTTTCTCAGAAGTAGAATTATCCTGGATACATTGATAGGTGGTATAAATGTAAGTGTTATTTCAAGCAAAACTAAAACCTCTACCAAAATTGTACCTTCCAACTTCAAATAAGCTTTTACAAAAATTTCAACCAACACCACTCTGGGAGTGATAAAGTCTCTGCTGCTTTCAAACCATCATCATATAAAAACTACAAGCAAATTCAGTTGAGAGAATTTGGGTAAGATTTATGCAGATATGAGTTGTGATGATAATTTTTCACACACCTGCTCTTGTCTGTCAACGGCTTGATTTGTGATTCCTTTCTTTCTTATACCGAGCCTGTTCTGGATCAAACCCGCCTTCGTTAGCTCCATAGACCGCCCAAGATGGAGTAGGGGCCATGTATTCGTTGCTGCCAAAAGGTTCTCCCGAAGCCACCTAATTTTCATTTGGGCAAAATCTTTAGATACATGAAAAATCCAATGATTACAAAAAGTTGAAAGGGTTAGTGGCCCAGCAGTACCCAAGTTACCGTTAGATCCCAAAAAGCCTGGAGGTCAAGGTTCAAACCTTGAGTTTGGTATGCAAACAGGACCGGACAGTACACGACGGGCAATAGTTGATGTAGGTGGATGAAAGAATTGAGCAAGGTTTTAGAGTTTTAATTTGACATGGGTAGTTTAGTAAATTACCAATCTTTGTCCATATCTTTGATTTTTGTTCCACCTATTTTGGCGGGACAAGAAAAAAAATGCAGTTTTGTCCCATTCAGTCTTGTCCTGGTCTAAGTTTCACACCAAACATGGGACAACAAGTTTTTGTTCTATCCTGTCACGCTTACCAAATGCGCCCAGGTGACAAGTTTGTGTGAGTTTTATGTATATAAATATTATATGTACTTCTAAAAAAGTCCAAGGAAATCAGATGAAGCTACTAACCAAGTCATGAAACTTCTCGTAGTCAATCCATGTGTGCCACTGACCATCAATCTTGAATTTATCGACTTTCGCAAGAAGAACACAACAAGAGTGCACGTGCTCGCAAGCAACCTCATACTCCCCATTGCTCTTTTCAGCCAAGGCCTCCGAAAAAGCTTTCACATCCGCATGCCAAGGCACGTTGTCCATAGTCAACTTTGAAGTAGCAGACCTGTGATAATCGTTGTTTCTATACTAAGCACCCAAATGGTAAAATATATAGGAAAGACGGATTTTTAATTCTATGGTAAGTACTTACGTTCCACAATAGGTAACACCTTTAATTTCAACAAAATCAGGGTTTCCAATGCCAAAGAGGCTAGAATATGCATCTACGTCCTCTGTGTTCCATCCTTTAACGAGTGTCAAACGATACACAGTCCGCTGTTGCTTATCCCTCAAAGCTTTCAGTGAATCCTGAAATTCATGTTAACAATGTAAGACAGCAGACAGCATACTTGGGTGGGAACAAAAATATCAATTTAGGTGACAATGAACCATGATAAGGCAAAAAGATTTTGCTAAAGCATATGACTGCCCCCTCTGAAGCGCCTACACCATACTGGTCCCACGGCCATGATTAAGGAGGTAATCGTGTGTCCCAGGTTGTTAGTGCCTGGAGTCGAGCCCCAGACCGCCCATTCATTCTGCAAGGACACCCACTAGGCAAAAAGATTGTATTTCTTCATTTCCCAAATGCAAGCGTGTTCCTTTGTTCTTTTTTCTAATTTCTTTTGTTCATTTTTTGAGAGGGAAGCGGGGGGGATTTATCATAATTCGCATTACAACATGGATCTCAATGTATAAGACATGCATTTGGCATTTGCATTCATAGGGACAAAAGATCTTATGCCACAAGAAGATACATACAACAAACCGTTCCCAGAAGTCCCCGAAGAGTGGTCTGTCAATTGCCTTCATGCTGTCCTTTGTTCCAGCATCTACACTGACATATAACTGCCCAACTCAAGGAAACAGAACCATGTAAATACACAGACCAATGAGCAAATCACTCAAAAAATCTAACAAACCAAAGGACAACGGATAAGAGGCATGCTAACCTGTGTGATGGGTGTTAGTGACACAATCTTCTCGGGAAACTGTGCATTTGTCACAAGAAAGGTGGAAATTCGCCTTTGGTGGAGCTCTTCTATAAGTGAATTGATCTCAGGGTACATGATAGGCTCCCCAACAAGTGACAAGGCACAATGCCTGGGTAACAAGCCTTCTGATAAGCGCTCTGCTGTGACACCTGCAGGTATATAATTCCAATAAATTCAAGGAGTCAATATTACATTCAAGTAGTGACTAAATATAAGTATTAACATCTAAAGGCACTTTGTTACCATTTCTCGATTTGTGACTAACTGCAGTATATAAAACGGACATGAAAACAGTTCTCCGATTGATAGAAGCCATGAAGTTCAAATATAGAGTACCAATTCATACCCAGTTCAATAACATAATGATTACTTCTGTTTATAACATAATGATGAAAACACACTGAACTCATGGTGGGTTAAAATAGGATACAATATCAAGCAAACACACCTAGTAAATTCCATGCCGAGGAAGGGCCTGAAGAGGGTAGGATGTATTAAGACCTTTTCCTCTATTCCAAGGGATAGAGAGATTTTCTGTGAAGACCCTGGGCTTGCAAACCAAAAATAAAAGAAACAAGAGAGCAAGCCACTTGAAATAGGATAGAATGAAGCATACACAAATGCTCAAGTTTTCAACATATAAAAGCCGAGTGCCATTGTCCAAGCCAACGACGCAGGCTTTTGTATACCCAAGTTGAAGTGGGGCTGAATCACCAGGGACTACATGATCAGCTTACTACAGACACTAACACGGCATAAAATATGTGATACTGACATGGATAAATCACGTGTCTGCTCACTTTACAGGATTCCTTAGAGTACTTGCCTACACGGCTACACTTCATATGTTTGAAGGAGTTGGCCTGCATCTCATGCTCCTTGTCTCTTCTATAGATGGCCATATTGTTCCCAAGAGTCTCGAGTGTTCTTTTTATTCAAAAGCATATATAAAGTTTAATAAACATAAACTAAAGTAATGGCATGTCAAGGTTTGACCGTTAACTTAAACTAAGTTACAAAGAATCCCCACAGTTGACTCGATTTTATGTACAATCTGCAAGTCCCCAAAATGTCTTTGGCTTACAACTGAAGACCCTTCTCATGTGCTCCCCTGACTGGGCAGGTTAAGTGATCCTCATCAAAATCCCTGAATGATTCTGTATTTGCTAGTTCCTACTATTCTCCAAAGGATATAGATATAGAAGTTCCACATCCACATGTGTTTCAAGAGTGAACATGTCAAAATGTAGTGGCATATCTACAGAATCACGCCATTTCTTGATGGTAGAAGTGAATAATCGATAGGTACCTCATGAATTGGATCTCCTAGTTAGGATCAGCATCTATCTTTAAAGTCAGTCTTATTATCTGTAGAAATTCGATCCTCAGAATCAATTATTTGATGACTGAATAAAAGATAGTAAAGCTATTTTATTAATTGTGTCAAACAGATGCCTTTGGTTACCCTGAATGTGGCCCTCATCAGCTCATGTTTCTTTGGTGTAAAAACCGAGACCTAGTTCCTTTAGGGTGCATTTGGTACACTGGACAGGATAGAACAAGACAGAACAGAATAAGGATACCTGTTCCACGTTTGGCAGAACTTTTACGTGGAACAAGACTGTTCCACCCTCATCCCATGAAACAAGATGAAACAGACTTATATTTTACCAATATAACCTGAAAATAAACCTCGTTCTTTTCTAAAACATCAAATACGCATCAATCTTTACATACTATTTATTGTATTTTATATTATTTAAACTTTCATTTTACTGTCCTCAAAGTATTATTTTTATATAGTTTCTATATTTTGATAAATCTATGCAATTTATTAAATTACTAATAATAAAAACAATATAGAAAAGGTATAAAATAAAAATTGGAAACTACATAAACTTTTTTTATTTTGATGTCATTTAATCGTCTTGACGAAAACTTCCTAATGATGTATTTTGTTATAAACGATATTTATTTTATTGTAATTTAATAAAGTACATAAATTAATCAAAATATATAAACACTGATTAGGGGTAAATTGGTAATTTTATCTGTTCTGTACTGTCCACTTCTATCTTACCAAACGTTGAACAGTTGTTTTGTCCTATTCGGATACCAAACGCACCTTATTGTTTTTCAGAAAATCCTCTCTCTTCTCCCAAAATCTGTGCTTCACCACTCTGCATCAAAGCGTGGTTCCTCCATCAGCTTCTTATTCTTGAGTGTTTAAGAAAAGAATATTGTTAACCCTCGCATTCAAAAAATCGTAGAACATGACCGTCACCGTCATCAATTCAAACCCCAGTTGTCACAGCTATCACAACTACCATCAAAATCTAGCTTTCGTCAATGCCACTGATATGGTTGTTTGTAATTACACAAAATCTAGTGGCTGCTTTGTAACTTTTTGGGAGTTCAGGAGGTAACATGCAAATTTGGAAATTCTGGGGGATGCTACATAAATTCTAGAAGTTGAGATACAGATAGTAATTTCAAATTTTTCAAAACACGTTCTGTAATTTCTAAAAGTTAAATGTCTTTTCTGCAAATCCTAGAAGTTTAGAGGGATTTCTATAAATTAATTTATCATCGCAAATGCATTTGGTGATGAGATGATTAATGTTTGTTGTGGCATTATAACAATGAATGTAGCCCATGTTTTACTTGGAAAGTCAAGGGTGCATCATTTGTGGTAAGCATGACAAAGAAGAAAACCCATGTTGCAGAGTATCATTTGAGAGCCAAAGTTGACAAACACATGCCTAGATATTAATAACTATAGAATGGTGACCAAAAACAAGGTGGCAAATAAAGCCATTACTGAGACCGAAAAGCAGAATACAAAAGATAACGCGGTCTGCGGTCACATCCATACAATAAGATTGTTGCACAACTGGGTTCTTAGTATATTAGGATAATTCTTAGTATTTATCTTACTATTTTTCTTATAATCTTTAGGATAAGTATTCAGAGGATAAACAACCATCTTTGTTATTAGTCTCACTATATATGGAGATGTAATCCATACAATAAGATTGTTGCACAACTGGGTTCTTAGTATATTAGGATAATTCTTAGTATTTATCTTACTATTTTTCTTATAATCTTTAGGATAAGTATTCAGAGGATAAACAACCATCTTTGTTATTAGTCTCACTATATATGGAGATGTAATCCTCGTCATTGATTGTCTGAAACAATCTCACTTGAGATGCCTTTAGTTATACAGAGGATGATACTCGAGATATCCTAGTGTTTCTTTGGTGTGAAGCCCTAGAAACCCCATGTTCCTTAATTGTTTTTCACAATCCTTCTTTTCTTCCAAATCTGCCCTACATCAGCTACAATAACATTATCAATGATAAGAAGACAAACGCTACTATCAGCATCTGAGGAGCAGCAATCTAGACATAAAAGAGGAGTTGTGCACAAACACTTCCATGGACATGTACATTACAATGGACATGCTCAGTTTGTGATTGTGACCGTCAATGAGGGAGACAAGGTGTAGAGAGGCCAAGGTGGCACAAAGACTAGATCTGTACCTTTGGCAGGATGCCCACTGCCTATAGATCATGATGATAGTGAGATAAGAGAATGAACCACCATTTGATAGTTCTGATGCAAATGAGGCTAAATGGACTCCTAGGATATGGAACACGGAAGAATCCCAAAAGACCAGGCCAGCCTATACTTTACAATGACAAGGATTTCAGACTAAAAAGAGAAGTCCTACAATTGTGCTAGTCCAAGTTGAAACACCAACGATTCAACTAGTCACAAGAAGCTGTAAAGGAATGGATGACATTTCTAAGGCTCTTAAAAATTAAACCATGAATACCGCATAGAGGGGGGGGGGGGGGGGGAGAGAAACAGCACCTTCCACTAAAAAGGGGAGCAAACTGGAAACAATTCAAACCAACACATATGCAGTTGCCTCTGATAATTGACAGACATGGTGATGCCAAAAAAACAAGTAAAGCATAAAATATGCAAGTATATGATGTGGCTAGCATTTTTTGCTCATAGCCTATGGTAACACTGGCAAACAAGGTCATCAGACACAAATTTATGAGACCCACCTGGAACTCCTTTCATTTGCTTTATCATTTTCTTATGCTGTTCTATGGCAGAATTCACAATCAATAATGGGTCATCCATCTTCCACTGCCAACTTTTTCCAACAGGATTCGTGTGATGTCTCCAACAGAAAACACATTTATTTGCACATGCCAAACTTGGTGTTGCCTCCATGCACCTGTTGCCATGAAAGCAAAGTTATAAATGTGTACTACAATAATATAGAAGAGACACAAAATACAATGAAATAAAACAAAACCCTCATCTTTATAATATGACAATTGCCCAAATGCATGAAATCAATGTAAATGCCTTTTGTCGGGCATGAACAGGATGGCATGAACCTACAGATCTATAATTGGTACAATATTTCCAATAACAATCAGAGAGCAGGTTGGAATAAATGTTGCATAGTCTTACATTGATAGTATCTTAACTGGTCAACAAATACATGCATATGATATGTTTTATATGCTGTAAGTTATACGAATATCTGAAAAACAGAACTATCAGGACACAAGAAATACAGATCTCTAACTTCAATAAGTTACCTACATGATACATATTTGTAAAGCACCAACAACTCAGAAAGCAAGAGTGTGTCGTATTGGCACTTAATGCATTATGCAACTGGTACATGTTCTCAAAGGCGGAACCAGAAAAGTTTTTTAAGTGGTGCCATGGTGGTACCATTTGACTACAAGGAAAAGAATCCATGGAAAATTTTCATAAAATTATTATAGATTTGTTGGTTGATTCCTTGCCCTTGAACAAAAAGAGCACGTGTTCGAAACCTGTCTTCTAAATTTTCTAAAAACAAGAAAACTATATATTAAGCCCCAAAATTTAAGCAGAAAAGCAAGAAATTTGACAAAAGCAGGACTCGAACCCGGGCCTTTTCTACAAAGGCAGTAACATTAACAACCATTTCTGGCATTACAAACTTGTGCCATCGGTTTAGTTTCAAAAAAATATAAGAGCACCCAACGAAATGATAGTTACCTACATGTAACGCACCAAGAAGAAAGAGTGTAGTATTGGCACTGTATGCAATATGCAACCGGTACATGTTCTCACAGGCGGACCCATGATAGTTTTTTAAGTGGTGGTACCCATAAGAAGAAAAAATCAATGGGATTCTTTCATAAAATTGCTAATAGAATGGTTGGTTGGTTCCTTGCCCTTGGACAAAAAGAACCCCGTGTTCGAACAGTCTCCTAAAAACACAAAAAGTATATAAAGACATTATGCAGGTTCACGGCAAGGGCATAATTTTTTAACACCGTCTCATAGATAATAATTGCAAGTGTACATCAGAATTTTAAGCTCAAGGCTACAGCAAACAAATTACTCACCTGTGACTCTCGATTCCATAAAAAGAGTGTTTATAGCAACCTCCACGCCCTCTGAGTTGCGATTTAGTCCACCTACATATTTTGACACCGCTGTGTGAACCAATGATCTTATAACCCTGCAATTCACACAATAGAAACAACCCTTTAGCATTAAAACTGCCACTGGAATAAAAACCTGAAGAGAGTACTTTCAAATTTCAAAAAAGAGTCATCGCTGATCTTATATGTCCTAAGGGTAGAGGTGTGGGTGTAGTCTATATGCGTGAGGTATGGGTTCGAGCCCAGGCACCGCCCCTCTCCCAATGGGATGCATGCGCAGTTTACCTTGCAATGGGAGCGTTTTTTCAAATTTCAGAGAAAATCATACCCTATTAAGGTTATAAAATGCAATCACTAAGGAGTTTCTAGGGTGAGATTGATGTAAGAAACATGATCATCTTTACCCAAGAGAACAGAACCAGATTACAAACAAGATCAATTATGAATATACCTGCTTTGTCAGGCTAGCCCTGATCACAGGAGTTACCATTTCTTTCACCCCATTCTTTTTTCCATTACTCGTAATCACTCCCACATCTTTCTTTGAAGGTGCTTTGCCAGCAATATCTTCTAAATCGACGATATCAGATTCCGCTCCATTTTCTTCATCTTCATCCTCATAATCATCATCTTCGTCATAATCTGATCCATTGATCATCTCATAACCGTTCTCATTGCCATTTTCTCCGATTAAATCACTCCCATTTCCACTCAACTCGCCTACTTTCAAAACCCTAATCACTTCTTTACTCCAAATACCAAAGGCCTTATCTAACTCACCCTCATCAACATCCCCTTCACAGAGAGGCAAAATCTCCATTGCGCCAAGACAGCGCATTTTCGTTGAAAACCCTCTCGCAACTGCGTTAAAATTATCTCCATAAGCGCTGCTCCCAACTCCAAATACAGCAAATTTGCATTTACTAAGCAACAGAGACCCGACTCTGAAGTCCTCGGCACTCTCCGACAACCAATTCGACAAGAAAACGCCGTTGGACGGCGGATTTCCGTCTTCCCATGTGGATGCGATAATCAAAACTAGGGTTTCTTGATGGAGGTCTTCGGGTTCATATGAGTTAGGGTCAACAAGGTCAAATGGAAGGTTATTGGAGGCCAAGAGTTTGGCGAGACGTTGAGCTAGAGTCTTTGAGGTGCCTGTTTGAGAAATGAAGAAGAGTTTTCCTTTTCGAGTAGCGGAGGAGAGACTAGGGTTTGAGGAAGATGGGGAGAGTTTAAGGTGACGAAGACGGCGGGACCTGTAGAAGCAGTAGAGAGTGGTGGCGGAGAGGAAAGCGAGGACGGTTAGATGTGTTGTAAGAGAGGTGGTGGATATTCTGGTGGCGGTGGCGGTTCCGGTGGAGGACATCGTTGTGGAGGTGGCGCGCGGTTGAGATTGTGTGGAGGCTCCGTTAGTTTAAAGTGGCGTATAGAGGTGACACAGTTCGAAGTTCAAACCCAAACAAAATTCATATTTTAATTTGAGTTTTTTTTTTTTTTTTAAAGTGTTTGAATGATAAAAAACGTTAACAGTAAGGTGGTGTCCGATTGGTTTAAGCTTAGGTTTTAAAGGTTAGAAGTGTCTGAAGATTTCAGGTTCAAATTCTAAGGAGGAATAAAAATCTTGTTGTGACCATGAAGGTTCAAATACAGTGACCCCGGACTACCCAGAAAACAAGTGGTCGTCATGAGATTAGTCGGCTCTCATAGCAGATTGATCCAGATCAATAAGAAAAACAATTTGGTTCAAAAAATATTTTTAAAACGAATGAAATCTGTTAATGTTTCCATAGGATTTTATTGAATTTAAAGGAATTGAAATTAAAATACATCATAATCTCCGAAGGATTTTTTTGGATTCGAAGTAGAAACATCATGTATATGTTTACTTCCTCGTACAAATCATATGAACCATGCTCAAAATAAATTTGTACGTAAAATTATATTTTATTACAAGTCTCATGAAAACTCATTTATTTATTGTCGATCGAGTATTAATAGCTCTTATTGAAAAAATCTACACATTTCAAACCATGATATCTACACATTACCAATATTTTCACATAATTAACACAATTTTTCGTCAAGCAATGTGTTCCATTTTCTTGTTTAAAGTTTAGATTTTTAAAATTAAACCCAACAACTTTGAACACCAGTCTAAACCATGAAATTGTGAATATGAGATATGAAGTTATGGGATTCGATAAATACTTAAAAACAAAACTAGGGATATAAAAATTATGAGATATAGTTCGAGTTTTCTTTCCAGAATCAAACTCCTTTCTCTAAAACTCACGACTTTTCAAAATATAGGAAGGTGAGCGATCAGAAAAAGGTATAAGAAGGTCAACGATCAGAAAAAGGCATGAACTCACGACTCTTCAGTTGGGTTGCTAAAGGGGTGTTCAATACATACAAACAAAAACACCCATGTTATTTGCTATAGGATCCATAGCAATGAACAAAGGTAAAACCGCCACCACATTGTTTACTGTAGAATCCATACAACGAACAAAGGTAAAACAACAGCTCTCGACTTTCCAACCCTTTGACTCATGAATACCCGTTCAATCATATCCTGTTCACTTGTACAAATCTTATGCTAGACATTACACTATACTTATTTTATGGTTGCACATTTTCTCTATCATGTAATTTCTCCAAGAGTCGTTTTTTATTAAAATCGCTAAACACAAAAAGAATTGACGACAAAATTCAAAACCAACTCTCATTATTTCGATATACATATATATATCTTGATACATATACATACATATACATATATATATATAATATATATATGTTTACACACAGGACAATTGAACTTAATGTAGATCTATATGGCACCACACTTTTTATTTTTGATATATCTACACAACGTTTACATGTGTTTTACACTTCTACAATTCCAAAGAGCCAACCATCAACCATTCACGATCATTCCACCTGAATCAAAATCAATCACCATCCAAAATAAACAATCCAATCCATAAAGTTCGAATAAAAAAAAAAGCAAAAGATAGACAGGTATAAGAGTTACCGTTAGGATGCAGAAATTGGCCAGTGAAGTAAGTAGAATCATCGGATGCAAGAAACACAAACGATGGGCTAATCTCATGGGGCTGAGCTGCCCTACCCATCGGAGTCTTTGACCCCCATTCTGATACATCACTCTCCTCCATGGATGCTGGTCGGATCGGGGTATAAACAGGGCCAGGGGCAACCCCATTTACTCGAATCCCTTTCTGCGCCAGCTGCAAAGCCAGTCCTCTTGTGAAGGACACTATTGCACCTTTTGTCGATGCATAATCCATCAACTCTGGGTTGCCCAAATACGCATCCACCGATGTCGTGTTGATGATGCTGCTCCCAACATTCATGTACCTCAACGCATGCCTGCGATTTTAACAATGAACTGAATGGTCAGCATCTTCAATCGGTCCGGGACGGACCCCAAGAGTTTTTGTGGTGTCACGTACCACCGTTTTGTTTTGTTACTCTGTCGTAGTATAAAAAATTATAAGCGTATCATGTTAATTTGTTGCATGTCATCGTATATATTTTAAAAACTACAACGAGACAAGTTTCTGTCTAGAGTTTGCTTGCAAATCTCTTTTTCCACCCAGACTAACCCGATATTCATAAACTGCATCTCCATAAAATAATACTAGAAGAGTACTCGCGCAATGCAGCGAGACACATCTCGATTTTAATGTTCTATTTTATTATTTGTCTTCGTCGATGTTACAATACGATTTTATGTGTTTTTAAGAAAACACTAATGATTTTATTTTTGAATAAAACATAAATTCGAAGATATCATAAAAATTAAAAAAAAAATATATCAATGTTAATATCAAATCAACTATTTAAAGTTTCTCATTTTTTATGTAATTTCTTTAAATTTTTTTATTATAATTTAATTTAAGTTTAATAACGAAATAATTTATTTTTAGTTTAATAATATAACATTTTATAAATATAATAATTAAGTATTTTGTTAGAACTCAATGATTATCCTAATTATATTTTAGATTTTTTATATTTAAAATGAGATGTTTATTTTGTATTTGGTTATGTTTATCTTCAGTTAGTTACACGAATTTAGATATGGTGCTTTAATAAGTTGTACTTACGCACAATTTACTTGCAATCTTGAGTTTTAAGTAATATATATTAATAAACAGTACTTTACGCATAAAAAATGGTTTTTAAGAGTTTTTGTGAAGAATATAGCATAGATAAAGGAAAAATAAAGAGTAAAACCTGCATAAGAAGAACTGAGAGAAAATATTGGTACTGAAAACCCTAACCAGACGATCCTCGGTGATTTCATCAAGGGAACTGGTCTTGTGCTGTTCTGCAGCATTGTTTACCAAAATATCAATACGTCCGTAGTTTTCCACGACTTCATCCACCACCTTTTTGCAGTTTTCGTCGAACCCAAGATCTGCAGCAATGGCTATGGGGTTCTTGGCATCACCAGTCTTGTTTTCAAGTAACAACCGCAGGGTGTCGTCTGCATCTTTATCCTCTCGGCCCTTCACAAAAGTGAAGGCCACCGTTGCACCTTCTTTCACGAACAGGTAACAAACAGCCCTCCCGATGCCTGAATCTCCTCCGGTCACCAGTGCCACCTTCCCCTATACCAGATAATGCATCGTTTATTTTATATATACATAAAATCATGCACTGGTTTCTTTAACTACAAGAAAACGATACAGAAAGAGATGGAAAGAGTAAAGGATATACAGACTTGAAGCTTTCCGGCAGGCTTGTAATTAGGGTTCATGAATTGTGGGGATGGATTCATGACATGCTCTAGCCCTGGTTGATGTTCTTGTTTCTGAGGTGGGAAATTTCGACCGTTGGTTGCCATTTTTTCCCCTCTTTGATCGATCTGAGTTACTGTTGTAAGTACACACCTCAGTGAAGCACAGAAGGTGGCGATATATAGTGGGAAAAAGAGAAGAAGCTGCATGCCGTCATTCTATTTGTCGCTAATGATTTGATAATACCACGTGTGACAGAAGTTTCACACGTCCTACTTCAGGTGTCTATGTGGCATGGAAACCTAGCTAAGCATTCAGGCAACAAAACCTAAAGATAAGCATTGATGTGTGTTTTTTTTGTCTTTTTGCTACAAATGGAAAGTGATATTTGGATATCCCTGCAAAAACTAGGGTTTGCTTATCAAATCTTTTGTAGGTAATTAATATAGGTGGGATTTGGAATTTGATTCTATTATATTTTTCCATTTAGAAACACAGAAAAGTTTAGAAAAACCCAATGAACTATCTCATTTTGAATGATTAAGTATCTGAACTATTTTTTTGAATGAAAAAACATTAAATTTTCTTATTTTAAACGATTAGGTCCCTAAACATTTTTTTCAATAAAATAAATCTTCAAATTTTTAAAAAATTGATTACTTACATTATTTTGACCATAAAAAGTTTACATGTAACTGACTAGAATTGTCTTACAGTAAACTACTTGTAACCCCCTAAAAATATATAAAAAAGAGGAACATTGATGGCGGAGGCCAATAGTGTGATAGTCGATATGAAGAACAGATAACGATGAGACGACAAGGAGCGGCGAATGGGAGTAATACCGTTGATTGTGAGGGGTTTGAAGGGGGTGGGATTTGAAAACGGTAAAACTGATTTAAGTTTCTTTTTTTACTTTAAAACTTTTCTAGTCGGTTACAAGTATAATCAATTTTTAGAAGTTTGATGCTTTATTTATTACAAAAAAAAAAATTTCAAGGATTTAATCATTCAAAATGTGAAAGCTAATGATTTTTTCACTTAAAAAACAGTTCAAAGACTTAATCATTCAATATGTGATAGTTCATTGGATTTTTATGAACTTTTCCTTATAAAACACTTGTTTTATAATGATCAATTAATTAAAACATCGTAGAAGTTGCTCCATCTACTATTGCAATGTATTTATTTTAGCCACAAGTGTCGAGACCAGCTCAGATAACCTTGACTAATTCCATTAAACCCTAGTAAACAACCACGAAAATTCCGAAGTGATTGAAGGAACTCAAACCGTTGCCCTCTAATGGCTTTATTAGGCATATCATATATGACATTGATGAAATATCCATCTTAGCAGAAAAGCTATACAGTAGGAAGACTTCCATCATTTTCAGAAATAGTCCATATGAACACCGATTGCACTTAAGAAACCATAATTCCTGCCATGAAAACCAACTACTTTCCCAGGAGATACACTTGAAGTGAAATAAGTATAGCCTGCACCAATTTCTTCTCCATAAGGCCCATGTTTCATCTTATTTGTGTGAAAAGTGATAGACGTTATAGCTTCCAATCCATTATATCCGTATACGGGTCCATAAAATCCTGAGATCCCAGTCAAATACTCATCTGTACCATCCAAATTAACCTGCCATCGTCAAGGTTCCATTGTTATCAGCCTAGAATGATCATGAGGTTGACGGAATGCTAAAAATCAGTGTGTTATTTTGTTCATACCGATTCGATTTGATCTCCACCTGTTCCTCCATGCATTGGCGATAAAACTACTTTAGCATCCCATTTAACGTATTTAAATTGCACAGAATAAATCACCTTCAACGACTCTCCAACGTGAACATGGACTTGTTTGACAGTAGAGAATACCCCATCATCCCAAGGTTTACCTCCAGAAACCCCCCAAGGTCCTGCCTCCCTTGGCATTGACATTCTAGATATACTGGTAGAACATAACTGTAGTGAAAAAAAATTCAATCACAAGTATATGTAAGGATATTTTTAACTTTAAAACAACATGAATAATCGATATTCATTATTCACAAATGAAATCTATGCAGATATATGGTTATCAAGATGCCAATTACTGATAACAACACAGTTTTAACTATTTATAGGTTTTTAGATAAGGCTTGAAACATAAATAGTTAAGAACAAGAATATGAGGAAAGAGACTTTAAGAAATGAACCTCATGCATGGAATTGTCTTTAGTTGTAGAGTTTCGACCAAATGCAAGTGATTCAGGCATCACATATATCCCAATAGCATCAAGGTGTGTGCTAACACGTCCATGAAATCCCACAATCACACCACCTTTCCCGTCATATGAAAATGGAGTACCAACATCCAACCCATAAGGACCATAATATTTCTGATTTGTGACAAAGCATAATGACTTCACGAACACATACCCAAAGTAGTTGCCAAATGTCCCACTTATTGACGTTAAGTATTCATTAGGGTAGTCGATGCAAATCTGTAGAATTCAAAACATGTCGTTCATTAGGAAAACTATTCCTTGCTTGCACATGTAAAACTCTAAAAATACAATGACATCAAACTGCATTCAGATAATATATCTGGTACCGTGTCCTTCTGATTGCCACAGATTCCACCATAATAGCCGCTTTCAATTTCACCTGTACGACCTTTGCTTTGGAATTTGATGAAATTGATAACCATCGAATGTGTAACAGTTATCTTTTTCGTGACACCTTTGGGCTTATAAGTCCAGCTTTTCCCCTTTGAACCACCCCATGGTCCATGACTTATGCATCCTTCATAATTATTTTTATCTCCCTAGAAACCATCCAAAAGAATAAGAACACATAAATTGATACCATTCTATTCTTCAAGTAAAACACAGCAAAAGATATAACTAAAACCTTACCATGAGGCTATTGAGATCTCAATTTAGAATGTTGCCAAACTTTCAACAGTATCAACTAGCAGCAACAATCAGCCCCAATGTATCTAAGCCATAAGGAAACACTACAAGATATTAATGCTACATGCTTGATCGTGGTGTACACAAAATCATGATAAACAACGGTGCAAAACTTTTGTATAGTGCTAATCAAAAGATCGAGCCATGCATAGTAAAATAGACATCAAGTGATTCGGGTATGCATCAAATTAAGTGTATAACAACAAACCCATAAAGAACGAAAGACGTTCTACATATGAACAATAGAAACACAATAAAATCACGTCACTCGTCCAATTTTAACATTTGATCGCACCCCTATCTCCAAGAATAGTCAAATGGGGCTTCTACAAATTCATGACAGTAATTCAGAATCATATGTCAGGTAATTTTCTGATGTAAACACCTCTTCTGTTAAACTCAATATCTTAACCCTTGCCAAGTCGAAAACTATGATAGATGTTTAACACTTCTCATATAATTCATGTAGTTATGGAATTCAATTCCCCTCACAACCAAAATGCTTGTTGAAAAGTGATTTATGTTCAGCAATACATCTCTCGAACCCTTTAACAATTAGAGTTGGCCTCCTTAACGTAAGCATATATCGAGACACAAACTTCACGTATCAATGGGCGGGGCACAATTTAACGAGATGCTATAATCATATTGTAACATTTTCGCCCTCATAAATCTGATTCATATAAGTATGATATAATTTCAAATAAATTTCAACGAATAGTTTTACACCCTAAAAACGAAAAGAACAACATGCTCATCGGACGGTAAACAACAGTGCTTGATTGCTTTTCGAATTTCAAATGAGCGAATACCATTTATCATATAAAAGAAACTGATCAGACGGGTTGAAAGATGAACCCTAATTACCATCTCCAATTGAAGAAATCAGAAGAAGGAAATGCAGATGCATAGAATATTGAAGAATACGAAGGCACAATCGTGAGGTGTGTATGGCTCTATATAGTTATGACAAGGAAGAAGAAGGCCGAAGGCGCAGAGAGATTGGAAAACGTAGAGAAGCCATGTCGCTTGATCTGCAACACAATATACGATCATTTTCCATCGCTATTCGCTAAGAAAACTATGATTTTCGTCCCTTGGTTTATGAAATATTGCAATTTTAATCCTTGTGGTTTGTAATTTATTGTTGTTTTTCTTCTTATTTGTATTTTATTGCTATTTTTTTTCCTCAGACCAAGTTTATTAAAATCCTCCATTTTGTTTAGGGGTATTTTAGTCTTTTTATTTTTTTCCCTTTTTGGTTTATTTTTTTTTTTTTTGGCATTTTAGTCTTCTTTATTTAATCGAGCTATATATTTTCTGATAAAAGAATTAATACTTAAAGAAATTATAATATTTTGTTATTATTTATGATAAAATAACTAAATATTTTTCATACAATTCGTTGTTTCATATTTTTTTATCATTATAGTTTTATTTCTTATCGGTTCGAATTTTGTCATTAATGTCATTCAAATGCAAGTCGTTGAGTATCATTCGCATGTATTTTAATTCTTTTTTTTTCGTTATTAGGGACTAAACGGTTAAACGTTTAAAGTGTATTGGTACATTCCTAGAATCGACCAATAGCAAGAATTGTTTGATCAAGAAAATTTTTGGGAACCCTTGCAATTGGCGAGCATGGTGACAATTTGGGGTATAGATTCAGAATTGTGTAAGGATCTCTTACCCGGTAAGTGCTTATCAGGTTATAAACGCTCACCATCAACCCATGTTGTTGGCCGGGAGTGTTACCTGATAGGTTTAGTATAAGTTTTAGATATATAAGGCTTGAATTATTAATGGTTAAACACTAAAAACAGAACAAAAATACCAAAATGGTACTTTTAGATACCATGGGATGAACCTCATGCGTGGACTTGTCTTCAAATGCAGAGTTTCGACCTAACACAAATGATTTAGGCATCACATAAATCCCAACAGCATCAAGGTATTTGCCAACACGGCCATGAAATCCCACAATTATTCCACCTTTACCATTGTATGAGAAACGAGTGCCCGTATCCGAGCCATAAGGACCATAACGGTTCTTATTCGTGACAAAACATAATGACATCACTACATCGAATCCTCCATAAACCGTCCCATTTATTGACACTAAATATTCATCAGGATAGTCGATGCAAATCTGCAGAATTGGAAACATGTCGTTCATCAGAGGCACTATTATTACTTGTTTGCAAATGTACAATAGTTAAGCTTGGGGGAAGATCTAGGCACCGCCAAAACCCTTGTGGCCATGGAGATTCACCTACCGACCTATGATGACTCCAGGCATTAGTTGGTAGCATAAGTTGGCCCAGATACCCCCGTTCACTCAAAAAAAATGTACACAAAACTGTTAGAATAAGTCCATTAATCTCCCATTACATCAAGCTACATTAAGGGGTTGTTTACCAACACAAATTGGGTAAGTGCTAACCAGGTAAAAGTGCGGTATGGGTAAGAGGTTCGGTCCGGGTAATCTTGCTAACTGAAAATGGTTGCTTACCAGTAATTGCATGCTAATAAAAACAATTTGGGCAAGCACTCTCCAACTCAGGGGCCATTTACTAAATGTTTACCAGACAAGCGCTTATCAGTATCACTTACCTTACCGATTGAGCATGACAAGGACCAAGACCAAGGTCTTAACTGGTAAGTGAGGAAAAAGTGCTTGCGGGGTTTAAAAAGCTTACCAACAATCTATTTTGATGGCAAAGAATGTTACATGATAAGTAAACAGCACCTAAGATAGTAGTTAGTACCCTATCAGTCTGATTGCCACCCTTACCACCAAAAAATGAAGCAGATTCGCTTTGGAATTTGATGGAATCAATAACCCCACCATGTTTAATGCTTATCTTCTTAATGAAACCTTGGGGCATAAAGTTCCATATTTTCCCCTTTGGACCACCCCATGGTCCAAGACTTATGCATCCTTCGAAATCGGTTGTAACTCCCTGCAAACCATCCAAAATCATAAAAGTTTTATGCAACACATAAATGATAATCGGTATCATAAATTGTGCTTCAAATAAGAACACAAGAAAAGATCAAAATTGAAACCCTACCATGAGGCTAAATGTAGATTGTTATCCAACCTTCAACAATATCTACTACCTGCATACAACAATTGGGTGGAGAATATACATAGTATAGTTAGTTCTAAATGACCTTATACTGGATATAAGAATCAGTGTATAAACTAATGCCTGTACATAGCAGCTAAAATTTGAGTCGACTTATGATAAAGGACTCTCAGACCTTTTTACACAACTAGTATATACATATACATATATATAGAACAAATAAACTCCAACGAAATTTACACCCTAAAAACGAAAAGAAGAAGATCATGATTCATCAGACGATCGATAGACAAGGGTGCAAAGAAGAGCATTATTAATCCGATTTTGCCATCAAACTTCAGTAGTGATTATGTAAGAAAAGAAAGTAGTTAAGGAGAGAAAGATGAACCCTAGTTACCTGTTTCAAGTGAAGAAATTGGAAGAAGGAAGCTGCAATTACATAAAATGCTGAAGAAGAAATGAAGGTTAACAATGGGCAGGGGCAGTGTGCTGGTGTTGTGTAGACCAAATAAGAACCCCACTCCCTCCTATCTACGTTTTCTACACCCCCACCTATATAATACAATAAAATAATTAAATTTTATTTATTTTATTTTTCAATTTTAACTCTTTAATATTTTTAGTTTTCACCCTTCAACTTTTTAAATACTTTTCTATTATACCCCTTAGGTTTTTTTTATCTATACTATAATTACATATTATTATTAATTAAGTATT